TTCATAATTTAAAAAACAATTTAATTTCCTAATATCCCACTGCTGTTGTTCTATCCTCCCCATCTTAAGTGACAAATGAAAGCAATAAATTTTGGTATAGGTTAATGAAGCATAAGTGAGGTGGGGCTACTGTCCAAATTTCTGGATTAGCCAAAGTCTGTGGAACAAGCATGGTGGGATGGGAAAAAACATACAAATAAACAATTACTCTATGGCAGCATGCCACAGCCAATCTTCTAAAAAGACTACTGTATTTTGGTGGCTCACCTTACTAATTTCTCATCTAGTCTACAAATCTCTGCATGCAATAGGCTCCTGCCTACTCCATTCCCATGAAAAGGTTCTGTCAGAGAGTGTCAGCGATGTCAGCGACAACTGCCATTACTGCTGCACTGTTATTACTGGCTCTTCTTCCTCTCCCCACTCCTTTAACACCTACGTGCCCCAGGGATTTATTGGCGTACACCACTATTCTCTCCCTCTAGAGAATTCTCAAGGTTCTAACTACTACCCAAATACAAAAGACTGCAGATATCTCCCCAGAGCTTTAGACTCCATACCCAACTTCTACACAGATGACCCATAAACTCACCCTAAACTCAATATGCTGAACACTAAACACACCATCTTTGGTGGCTCCTCGTTGTCTACAAAATCCAAGCCTCCCATTGATCTGGCTTCACCCTATTATTTCAACTTCATCCCCTGCCATTCATATTCATTTTTCTGAATGCCTAGTAAAATAAAATTTACCACCTAATATTTACTGAAGGTCCATTAAAATGCCAGGCACTATTCTAAGCACTTTATATGATTAACTCACTAATCTTCACAGCAATCCCATAAGGTAGATGCTATTATCTTCATTTTATGCTGAGGAAAGTATCTTGCCCAGGCTACTAAACAATGGAGACAGTATACAACCTACATCCTGTGCTCCTTACTTTTGTACTACGTAATTTCTCATAAATGCCTATATGTGCCAAGCACTGTCCTGGAGATTCAAGGTGAATGTGACAAAAAAGGCCCATGCCCTCATGGGACTCACAGTCTTGTAAACAAACAGAATAAATAAACAAACAAAAAAACAAAGCTGTAGATTATTAAAAAGTGCCAGGAAGAAAATAAACAGGATTTTATGACAGAATATTCACAGAGGTGGACCTACTTAACAGTGATGAAAGAAAGTCTCTCTGAAAAACGACTTTCAAGGTGAGACCTAAAGGATGAGAAGGGACCACATATGCAAAGAGGGGAGTATATCTGGAAGAGTACTGGCTTGTTAGAAAGCACAAAGATGGTGTTATGGGCTGAACTGTGTTCCCCTCAAATTCATATTTTGAAGCCCTAAACCCAAATGTGACTGTATTCAGAGAGAGGGATTTTAAGGAGGTATTTAAGGTAAAATGTGGTCATAAGGATAGGGCCCTAATCTGATAGACTGGTGTTCTCATATGAAGAGGAAGAGACACCAGAGATTTCTCTCACTCTCCACATGCCCAGAGGAAAAGCCACGAGAGGATAAAACGAGAAGGCACCTGTCTACAAATCAGGAAGACAGGCCTTACCAGCAATCAATCTTGATGGCACTTTGATATTCATAGCCTCCAGAACCGTGAAAAAATTAATTTCTGTTGTTCAAGTCACTCAGTCTGTGGTATTGTGGTATGGCAGCCCAAGCAGACTAATACAAATGGAAAAGATCTAGGTGGTTTGTAGGAACTGACAAACACCAATGTGCTAGAATATAGAGAGCAATGGAGACAATACGTCAAGACTCTTAAGCCCATAGATGGTAGATGAACTGGAAATGAGATGATCACAAAAACAGTCCCTGGTGAAGTTTTAAGCTGGTTGATATTGGACTGGAAATGTATGGCATGAGTTTTTGTTTTCTCAGTGACTGAGAGTCGCTAACATATAGTGACTTGAATACAATAATCTATATTTCACCCTGAAATGTACAAAACAGCCACATGTAACAAAGAACTGAACCCTCCCCAAAATGTTAACAGTGCCTACTGAAGAACAGTGGCTAATGGCTATGTTTTGTTTACTCAGGGAACTACAGAAAACGAGGGTTTAGCCTTTTTTTTCTACTTCTTACACCACTTAGGATAGTTCTGAGTTAATTCTGGTGAATTAATAAATACGCATCGTGCCTATGTGCAAGGAACAGTGTTATATACTTTGGAGCATGCCCAAATGAATCAGACACCAGTCTTAGCTCTAAGAGCCACAGTAGGGAAGATATGACACCACATTTCATCAAATCTAAGGCACCGCTGGTTATAAGATGTACTATTTTATGTACCACTAAGGGGATACCACCAAGTAAATTATGACATTGACTGAAAGATACATCCTAATTTCAGAGCTGTTAAAATTTGAAAAAATATACATCTTAAATAAATGAAAAAGAATATAAAATAAACAGCTAAAATGCAAATAGTTGGAGTCACATAAAAGAGTCCATAGAAGGGATGGGCTGCTTCATGCAAAAGCTTACGGGTATTTAAGCAAAATCTTGAAGGATGGGCAAAACTAAGAAAAGCAGAGATTGAGGGAAGGAATAGTTTTAGAAAGTGGGGGGGCTGGCCCCGTGGCTGAGTGGTTAAGTTAGCACGCTCCGCTGCAGGTGGCCCAGTGTTTCGTTGGTTCAAATCCTGGGCGCGGACATGGCACTGCTCATCAAACCACGCTGAGGCAGCGTCCCACATGCCACAACTAGAAGGACCCACAAGGAAAAATATACAACTATGTACTGGGGGGCTTTGGGGAGAAAAAGGAAAAAAATAAAATCTTTAAAAAAAAAGAGAGAGAAAGTGGGAATTGCAAGAGGTAAAGCATAGCAACAATAAAGTGAGGGATATTTAAAGAGAAAACACTGGTGAAAAGTTAGAAAGACAAGGGTTAGGAAAACCTTGAATACAGCTAGGCTAAAGAGGCTGAAATTTATTGCATATGCTTGACGAACAGTTCTCAGACACTTTTCTTCACCCCAAAAAAACTTTAGAGCTATAATATATATAAAAAATACAGCTCACTCTAGCAGTGATTCTCAACTCTGGGAGATGCAAAAGCAGGAGAAGAGATTAATTTTTGTGGGAGTATAGTTTGAAAATGCTATCCAGAAAATCCTAACTTCTGCCTCCACCTCACCATGAGACTCACTTAGGGAACCCCTAGAAAAATGTGAGCAGCCAAATGATTCAGGTGCCATTTCAGGACAGGTAATCCAGCAGAACCGTGTAAAAATGAATGAGAATTAGAATAAAGATTAAAGACTGAGAATCTCCATAAGAAGCTGATCTTCCAGGCAAGAAGTTAAACAAATTTATATTAGATTAGTGATGGTGAGGAAAACGTATGGTGGCATTATAAGAAAGAGGGGAAAAACAGGTAAGAAAAAGTTTAAGACAAAAGATAAACTCAAACAAGGACCGCTTCTTCCAAAATATCAGTAGTCATTCAGGTGATGTCTAACAGGCATCTAAGATTAGAAAAAACAAGAGTTTAGGTCTGGGAAAAAGAGATGTGAACATCATCTAAAAAGCGATATTAAGCCATAATTTGGATAAAGTGCCGAAAAAGAGGCAAGAAGAGGTATCGCAAAGACAGTTTTCTTAAAGTAAACATGTACTAAAGCATTTAATTGCTTTATTATAAATAATTATTTTCATATTTTACAATAATCTCATGCTGATCATCATCACTGCTAATTTTAACACTATAAATTTATAAACAAAAAAGCAAACCATAGTGAAGATCAAGAATATGCTCAGGATCATATATAGCAATACATAAAACAGAGCATTTCATTAATTTCCAATCTGAGAGAGAGAGAGAAAGAATGGTTTTATTATAAACATTCACAGTTGTCGAGTTTAATCTATGAAAAACTGCAGTTATATCATAGCATCAAATTGTTTTGTCCTTAAAAAATTTTTTTTTGAAGATAGTGGGAATATTTAAGATCAGTGTTTTTAAATCAGGTATTTTTAAAGCATGAAGGCAACATTATCTCCGTACATTAAAAATACGGTTTCAAGTCACACATGAGATAAGAAAGAAGAAAATCTCTAATTCTTTGGTGTTTGACATTTAAATGTGTTATAAATACAGTGAATGATTTTAATTAAATTCTACCTTTTTTTTTTAAAGATTTTTTTAATTTTTCCTTTTTCTCCCCAAAGCCCCCTGGTACATAGTTGTATATTTTTAGCTGTGGGTCCTTCTAGTTGTGGCATGTGGGACGCCGCCTCAGTGTGACCTGACGAGTGGTGCCATGTCCGTGTCCAGGATCGGAACTGGCGAAACCCTGGGCCACTGAAGCAGAGTGCACGAACTTAACCACTCGGCTACGGGGCAGGCCCCAAATTCGACTTATTTTGACTGAAATACCTTCCGATAAACTTCCCACAAGACTGGGAGAATGAGGTTTGAAGGGAAAGAAAAGAAGAAATGGAAGGAGGGAAAGAGGGAAACCAATAGAATGAAAAAAAGAGGCAAGAGAACAGGAGAAGTGACCTAGCCGAAGAACTAGCTAAGAGAGTAAAGATGGTAAACATCACCACGGTGCCCCAGAACAGAATTACTGAGCAAAGAGAATGACGCAGCTTTTGGAAGCTGGACGTGATAAAGACTCTTGAACATCCTCCAGGCTATCTACCTGTATTATAGGGCAGGTATTTTTCTCAAAATACTTGCAAATCAAAGGAATCTGATAGGGAAGATGCAGATCACCTGCTAGCAAAAGCAAACCACACACAATCCGCAATCTGTCTAAACGATTACAGAAACTGAGACGGCCAACATCAAAGTGCAGGTTAACGGTTTGTCAAAACATGTTCCTGTGCTACTTCATGACCACTTTTACATAAGCAAATTCCCTCGAAGGAAAAGAAAAGCCCAAGTAAGTTTTTAAAACTACATGTCATATGATAACACTATGGTTAAATTTACAAATGGCAAGAAAAGTTTTGAAAAATGTGAAATACCTCAGTCTGACCTTCATGGGCACTGGTCTCGTGAGTAACTCGAATAGCCTGTAATAAGAATAGAAGGTATTAATAGGAAAAAACAACTATATCCAACTTTTTAAATGAAAACGACAATGCTAAATTTTAACATCTAAAGCCTTGTTAAGAAACAACAAATTGGAGGAAATTTAGGAACAGTATAATACTAAATGTTTAACAGTGATTTCTGAGTAACCAATGAATTGCTGTACTTTCCAACCCACAAATCTCTGAAGACTCAGGAAACTGAATTTCTCATTATTTGTAATTTCCAGGTGTAAGTGGGAGCCATTTAACTTGTTTAATTGTTAGAACTAACATTTAACACTTTATTCACCTGAGACTAGAATAAAGTAAGCATCTCACAGATAGAGACTGAAGCAGCTTATCTCATCTGTTTCTCCAGGTTACATGCTCCTCAGCAGCTCTGGCTGTATTTATGCTTAATCATGCAGCTTCAGTCAGCAGTTTAGAAACGTGGAGCAAAAAGCATGCACTTATCAGAAGCTAGAGATTTTAGTTTCCTGAATTAAAAAAAAAATGCTCTTACAATACCTACTATTAGCAAAGATGAAGAGAAATGGGCAAAGTAGTAAATTACGGGTGAAAGTACAACCTCTATGAATGGCAATTTGGCAGTAAGTATCAGAGCCTTAAAAACATGCAAACTGTTTGATCCAGCAATTTCTATTCTAGGAGTTTATATATTTATGTATACCTGTACATAATTGTACACAGTTAAGGATGTTTGCAAAGATTTAGCTATAATGATATACCTTATAGTTTTTTTTAAAGAGGGGAAAAATATTGAATTTCTGACAAGAAGTTATTGGTTAAACAAAATACTATACAATGGAAAGCTATGCAGCCATTAAATGATAATGTCAAATATATACTTACTGGCATGTAATATGTTTGTGTTAAGTGAAAAAAGGAAGTTATAAAACAGTATTACAGTATGATCAAATTTTTGTTTTAAAAAATTGTGTAGATACATTATACTCCTATAAAGAATGTTAATGGTGGCTACCTCTCATTGGTGGGATTACTGGTGACTTTTATGTTGTTTATTTTGTTTTTATGTAAAATAAAGATGTCTTATGAAATCTGAAGGTTTTAAAAAGAAAAAATAATTTAAATAAAGTATATTAGAATGTTAACACAACATAATCAAATTAATGAATTTATTGGGCACAAACTCTGCATAAGGCATTGTTCTAGCCAAATAATTTGCACACCATATTGTTCTAATTGCAAAGAACTCACAATCTTCTTAACAGTGTTACTAAAAGGTAAAAAGCCTCCAAGAGAAGAATTTATTTAAAAAACTAAAAAATTTAAATACCATTCTAAAACAATTCTGTGAGATAATACAATCATTTAAAACTAGATTATGTGAGCTGTGTCTTCCCACATGCAAAAATATTATTACACTGATAAAATAGCTAGAGTACAGTCTAATATCTATGTTTAAACCCTTGTTTTTGCCATTGGCTTTTAGCCTTGTTCCAAATTCCCAGTGAAAGACACACAGGATTGTTGCCAGGCATATATTTATTATAGAAAGGGAATGGTAAGAAATCAAAAGACATTTTATAAATTTGTAAATCAGTCTGCTTTTTTTTCTCTCATTCAACTCTGGACATAGAAAAAAAGTGGCAATTTATCAACATTTATGGATATTTCAGATAATGTTACCTGAAAAATACAAAAGGCCTTTTTTAATGGTATGATCAAATTCATAATCGCTCAACACTACAGTTTCAAGACAAACCTCCAAATATAATCTACAACTTCACAAAACTTTGCCCACGTGTGAGATCAAGACAGAAAGAAGGTACCGACGTCATAGTTCTCCAGGTATCTGGCTCGTTCTTCAGGGCTCATGGACACAGACTCCTCCAGGAATTTTTTCAAGGTTGATCCAGATTCTGAGAACATTAAAGAAGATAAAAGTGAAAAAACTTGATATCTCAAAGAGACTGACATACGAAAACACTAGACGTATGCTAACTACTTTTCAGATAAAATCCTTTCACTGGGAGGTTAGAAATATGAGAATATTGGGATAAATGATATGGCTTAAGTGACTCATTCGCTTGTTAAATCTCTGTTCATCAAAAATATAAAAGAAGGTAAAGGATTACTATTTCTTCTAACAGTATATACATTCCCATTATAAAAAAGAGAAGGGAGGAAAATGCTTTATATAATACGTTGAAAGAAAGAACTAGAGCACCACCTACTGCTCAATAAGTTAACTTATACCTTAGGGAAGGAAAGTAGCAGGCACGAAAAATTATTTACCAAAGTGCATCTTGTCTTTATTGTTGGCAATAGCATGGATCAGTCCAATTGTTCCACAGGCATTGCTGATTGTTTGCTTCATGAAATATACTGATGATGTAACATCTTGTCCCTGAGATTTTATTTTTTCCTCCTCTTCCGTTCTGAATACTTCATACTATTAAAAAAAAGTCAATAGTCTACATGTGAAAAGAATACATTAAAAAGGACTCAAACACAAAACTGGAAAAATTCTAAATTCCATCAATGGGGATTTGGTTAACACATGATGGCATATCGTAATGCAATACTATAAAGCATTTTAAAAAGAATAAAGTAGATTTATATATTCTGACTTAGAAATCTGTCCATTATTACAGAGTAGTTATAGGTCAGTATATATTAATATGATTCTCACTTATGTTTTTAAGATATTTACATATGCATCAAAAAGTCTGAAAGGGTATACAAAAACTTAGAGATTATCTCTGGGACAAAAGATTACCGGAGGGTTTTTACTTTCTATTTTTTGCATTTCTATATTGTTAAATCACACTATGTTAACAAAATTCACGCTGTATTTATAAGCATATGATATTCATAACAGACATTCACCCTTACTTATAACAACTAGTTGTAAAAACAATATGGTACAATAATGAATGTCAAAAGCGTGGGTTCTCCATCTGACTGCCTGAGCCCACATCCTGGCTCTGCCATTATTAGCTGAGTGACTGGTAAGTTACTTAAGGTCTTTGTGCCTCATTTTGCTAATTGTAAAAAAAGCTTAAAAATAATAAAGAGGTTAAATAATGAGAAGGAGGAGAGGGAGAGTAGAAAGATGATTGTATTGTTTTGTTTATTGGTTTCCCATAATTTTCAGATTCCGATAGAGTAGGGAGTCAGCAAACCACAGCCTTCAGGGCAAATCTGGCCAACTGCCTGTTTTCATAAGTAAAGTTTTATTTTTGTATTGTCCATGGCTGTTTTCATGCTGGAAGGCCAAGCTGAATAGTTGTAACAGAGACTGTAAGGCCTGTAGAGTTAAAAATATTTACTATCTGACCCTTTAGAGAAAACGTTTGCTCATCCTTGCAATAAAGGAAACAAATGATATCTACAGAAAACCCATAATTAAGAAGCTGCTTCTAACAACAAATGCATCTATGCCCTAAAAAGTAATTTTTATGAATGTGCTTCTAAATCAAATTTTTAAGTAAGATTTTCAGAATAAACTCTGAACCATTAATTCATTCCTATAGGTCCAACTGATAAAAAAACTGTTAAAGGTTCAATATAGTAAGGTCTTATGCTGAAATGTTTACATGGGTCTACAGTTTAGTTTGTTGTTGTTTAATATCAATGTTCCTTGCTGACACAGCAAAGTGAGATTTGAAAGCTTTTCAAGAATTACTATTTAGAAAAAAATCCTAAAACGATACAAAGCAAGTATAGCAAAAAAGGAAAAGATATTATGGCAGACTGAAGTGAAAACCCATGGTCAAGAGATAACAAAAAGAAAGAAAGAGATTTATAGCCTCTTCATGTATGATTCATTGGCTGGTAGGCACTACTATAAACCACACATTTAAAACACCATAACTAGGGGCCAGGCTGGCCTGGTGGTGCAGCAGTTAAGTGCGCAAATTCTGCATCAGTGGCCCGGGGTTTGCTGGTTTGGATCCCGGGTGCGGACATGGCACCACTTGGCAAGCCATGCTGTGGTAGGCATCCACACATAAAGCAGAGGAAGATGGGCACGGATGTTAGCTCATGGCCAGTCTTCCTCAGCAAAAAAAAAGAGAAGGATTGGCAGCAGATGTTAGCTCAGGGCTAATCTTCCTCAAATAAATAGATAAATAAATAAAACACCATAACTAACTTTAAAGGGTAATAAGGAATCTGTGACAGTTCTTTTGCTATCAGAATGCTTAAGCTATGTGCAACAACAATCAGTTTATAAATTAGAACAGAGACTAAAACACTTTGTATCTCTAAAATATCCACTAGACATCCTTCGAGTGTCTTTAATATGTCACTTATGAGCTGAAATGAGGATCTACCAAATTGTAAGAGACATCACAAAGTGGCAGGTGCCACTATATTCTTTCCTTACATAAGTAAGTAGAAATACTTATATAAATACTTTAGAATTGTGTTCTTTCTAGCAATAGGCACAATGAGGTACTTTTCAGTAATGGTGATCCACTAAATGAAGAAGTCCTATTGATAAGGATAATACGCTTTTTTTTTTTTAAAGATTGGCACCTCAGCTAACATCTGTTGCCAATCTTCTTTCTCCTTTTTCTTCTTCTTCTCCCCAAAGCCCCCCAGTACACAGTTACACTCTCTAGTTGTAGGTCCTTCCAGTTCTGCCATGTGGGACATCACCTCAGCACGGCCTGATGAGCAGTACCATGTCCACACCCAGGATGCGAATCTGCGAAACCCCAGGCCGCCAAAGCAGAGCATGCAAACTTAACCATGGGGCAGGCCCCAACATGCTTTTTCTTTTTTTTTTTTTTAATACTGATGACCCACTAAATGAAGGAGCTCAAATCCCATTTATTCTTTAAAAGAAAAAAAGGATAGGCCTAAAAATCAATGGTTTGGGAAATTTCCAATTCAGATCATAAACTCACATTTGTATCATACCAACTAAGAAAGCTTAAGCTTTAAGTGGCTGATGTTTTTCCACTTTTTCCTATGGTCAGGGTCTTGGAATAGCTAACTATTGGCTTATTTTAGTAACCAAAAATGGTGAAGGGCCAGCCCCAGTGGCGTAGTGGTTAAGTTTGGTGCACTCCACTTCAGTGGCCTGGGTTCAGTTCCCAGGTGGAGACCCATGCCATTCTGATAGCAGCCATGCTGTGCGGATGGGCCACATACTAAAAAATAGAGGAAGACTGGCACGGATGTTAGCTCAGAGTGAATCTTCTTCAGAAAAAAAAGAAAAAAGGAAAAAAAGTGAAAATAACACTGAACTACAAGAGAGTAAACTTAAGAGGTTGTCCTTGCTCAAATTTCAGAATAATCACCACCTCATCACTAAAAGTGGGAGTTTAGTCTAATAGTGGATAACCACTGAGAAATTCCTAACTCTAAATTTCTATGAATATTACAAACAGCATTTATGAATAATATCCCTTCTTTAATTATTTGTTTTGTGGAACCCTTAAACACAACAGACAAATATTTCAGTATTTTTCATTTTATCTTAAACTGAAGTTAATTAGTTGTTAGCATAAAGAAGATTATCCAGGAATTTCTAGAACTGAGCAAAGCCTAATTCTTAATTTCTCTGAGACTTGGCTCTGTTTATTCCTCAAAAATAAGATGGCCTCAGCATGTATATGCCCAGTTACCAACACCTCATTTCTTCCCAAACATTTACTTCTTCATGTTTTACAACTACCGAGCTCATCCTATTGTTTCTAAGTTTAAAAATAAAAATCAGAAAGATATAGACTCAAAAGATGTTTTTAAATGAACTTAAAAGTTCTGGCTCCATAATACATATATCTACAGGACATCATTCTAGAAGAAAGGCCTGAAATATGGGGATTTGAATTTAAATACAGAAATCTAAGAATAGCTTTTTATAATACCCAACAGATTCTAAATCTGCCAATTAAACTATATTTAAGTTTAGTGACTCCCACCCAAATCAATTCTGAAAATAATCTAATCCATGTTATTAGCTACACCTACTTCCTTAAAACAAGCCAAAAAGATTTCTTTTTACATATATGTTGAAAAAAATTTCCATATTTTATATATTGAAATTTTGAATATTCTTTATTCATAAATTTTCTAAGACATTTAAGATTATTCTAGTACTTAACATTTCTAAAGTATATACTTCAAAATGTGATTAAATGTCACATCAAAATACAGTTGAGTCAAACTAATCATATTTAATAAAGGAAAAAAACTACCCAAGTTTAAAAGACTAACTCAGGGCTTTATTGTCAATCTATAAATCAAAATCTAAACATCATCTCTTCAATAAAACGAGATTTTTAAGATGTCCCCACTTCCTAAATTTCCTCAATTTATGGAAGAGGGGAGTTATCTGTTCTTAAAGAAGATCAGATTTTTAATTCATCATTGAAAGAGAACTTTGCATTTACTGGAAACTGTATCTTACTTAACAATTACCTTTTCTGTAATAGGGAAGAGAAGTAACACTGCGCACACTGGCCGTGGAACCATGCTAAGGAGTTCAGGATCCATTCCATATACATCAACAAACTGCCAGTTAGGATGTAGACCTAATTGTTTGAGAAACTGGTAAAAGGAATGAAAAAACAGTATAGCGTTAACAGGGAAAAAACATGTATGCACTGTGTATCCAATACACAAAAGGGAACGCGAGGTACAAATATTACTGATGTTCAATAAGAATGATGTAAAGCGAGTTTCCATGAATACGACGGGAAGAGAGGGTCATCTATTTATATCAATTAACAAACACTTAAAATTTATAATACAGTAAGCAAAACTCCTTTCTTCAAAGTTCATTACTTTGGGATTGAACATAAGTCAAGACTTCACCAAACACATACCAGTCGATTTGGTTGATACGTTAAACTCATTTCCAGCACTTGATTTTTAAAGAGATGCATTTAAGTTCTAGTAAATAAAGAATTATTTTAGTACAAGATCAAAATATTTATCCTACTTACCAAAAATGATGCTTAAGTTTTAAAGATAGATAGATATCAGATAGATAGATATCATGAATTATATCAATGAACAGAGTATACAAAGCCAAAAAAGTCCAGTGACTTGTGTGAACACCAGAAAATGCTTGATATAAGAAGTAAACTACTGGCTTCCTGATGTCTAGTACACAATGAAATCTACTCAACTTCATTGCCTCTCTTACATCTGGCAAAACAACTATAACAAAAAATTAGTGGTTTTTTGAAACTCTTAAGATTTCACAGGAAAATAAAATGTCAGACCCTAATCTATTGCAGAAGAGAAAGAAAAAACAAAATAATGAGAATTACATCAATTTCACAATAAATTCTTAGTAAATGTCTATACTGAATGAAGCCACTAATTTTTAAAAGTGCACCATCACAAAATAAGTTTTAGATTATAGAAAAAAAGGAACAGAGGAAAAAAATTTGTATTAAAAATGCATTATACCTTACCTCAAGAGTATATTATAGTATCTACTCATCTAACATTATCTGAAACTTAAAAATAAAAAGGTGTCTTGGGTATTTCTTCCTGAAGAATGATCATATGTACTTTGATGATCAAATGAGGTCTTCCGAAACCAATGGAAACTATGCCATGTTACATAAACAGTATTATTCATCTCACACACAGCCAGGTTCTGTAAGACAAGACCCTGTTTAAAGAGCTACTCTCCATAGCCCTCCATTGCTCTGTCTGCACAGAAGAAAGCCTACTTAATGATAACATGGTTGGTCAAAAACAAGGTTCTAGATATTTTTCTTTTTTTCTCTTTTTTTAAATTTTTTTTTTAATTTTAATTTTTTCGGATGTACATCATATTTCAAATTCTGTATACATTACATCATGTTCACCACCAGAACACTAATTACAGTGCATCCTCTCACATGTGACCCTAATCACCCCTCTTGCCCTCCCCCCTCTCCCCTTCCCCAATGGTAACCACCAGTCCAATCTCCAATGCTATGTGTGTGTTTTTTTTTTTTTTGTCGTTTTTATCTTCTACTTGTGAGTGAGATCATATGGTACTTGACTTTCTCCCTCTGACTTATTTCACTCAGCATAATACACTCAAGGTCCATCCATGTTGTCACAAATGGCCGGATTTTGTCATTTCTTATGGCTGAGTAGTAGTCCATCGTGTATAAATACCACATCTTCTTTATCCATTCGTCCCTTGATGGGCACCTAGGTTGCTTCCATGTCTTGGCTATTGTGTATAATGCCACAATGAACACAGGGGTGCAAGTATCTTTATGCCTTTGTATTTTCAAGTTCTTTGGATAAATACCCAGCAGTGAAATAGCTGGATCATATGGTAGATCTATCCTTAACTTTCTGAGGAAACGCCATACTGCTTTCCATAGTGGCTGCACCAGTTTGCACTGCCACCAGCAGTGAACAAGGGTTCCCTTCTCACCACACCCTCTCCAACATTTGTTGTTTCCTGTCTTGTTAATTATAGCTGTAGGGGAGGAAGACTTTTCCTCTATCTAATGTGGGTTCGACTGGCCCGAGAACAAATTAAATTCACATGAGATAGAACAGCAAGAGAAAATTAAACAAAGCTTTATGAGGACCATGGCCCGGGGCCTTTCTTCCCGAAGGAAGAAAGGGCACCGCAGAAGTGGGGTGCACAGAGTGGTTATATAGCCCCAAACAGGATATTTCACATATGACTGAAATGTCCCTCCCACAACAGTCACAAGATTGCCCTGTCCGCACAGCGCTTGATGGACACAGTAGATAGTGGTCTGCTATCTCTGAGGGCGTAGCAGGAGGCAAGTCTATTGTCTTGAGCTGGGTGATCACAGGTGAGCGCAGTAATCAGTTCCTAGCCTAAGGAAAGATGCTTAATCCTTAAAGAAATGCCAACGTTGGGAGGGGGAAGGAAGTCAGTTACAGGAGGTTACCAGACAAGCACAATAAAATACAGATTTAAGTCCTTGCCTCTGGCGTTGATTAAGAGTTTGTAGAGAGAAGGTCATCTCCTTTCTCCTTCCTGGTACAGAGAGGGAGGCACCTTTACAGATAGAGATTTAGTTCTACTTTTTAGTTGCTTTCCTGTCTGCAAAGAAACCAGCCTCAAATAGCCCTCATGCCAAAGAGACATATCTTGGGGTGGCCATTCCAGTCCCCACATAGCCATTCTGACCGGAGTGAGCTGATACCTCATTGTAATTTTGATTTGCATTTCCCTGATAGCTAATGATGTTGAGCATCTTTTCATATGCCTGTTGGCCATCTGTATATTTCTTTGGAGAAATCTCTGTTCAGGTCTTTTGCCCATTTTCTAATTGTATTGTTGGCTTTTTGTTGTTGAACTGTATGAGTTCTTTGTATATTTTGGATATTAACCCCTTATCTGATATATGGTTTGAAAATAAATTCTCCCAATTGTTACGTTGTCTTTTCATTTTGTTCATGGTTTCCTTTGCTGTGCAGAAGCTTTTTAGTTTGATGTAGTCCCATTTGTTCATTTTTCCTTTTGTTTCCCTTGCCTGGTCAGACATGGGACTTGAAAATATGCTGCTCAGACCAATGTCATAGAGCGTACTGCTTATGTTTTCTTCTAGAAGTCTCATGGTTTCGGGTCTTACATTCAAGTTTTTAATCCATTTTGAGTTGATTTTTGTGCATGGTGTAAGGGAATGGTCTACTTTCATTCTTTTGCATGTGGCTGTACAGTTTTCCCAACACCATGAATTAAAAAGCTTCTCTTGGCAGAATAAGCTCAACATCTTTTAGGCTCATCAAGTCACATGCTCTACAACAGTTTGGGAACAGAGAAATCAACAGACTCCTCCACATTATACCTATCCTTCATCTGATTCATATTCATCATTCCAGACTTTAATAAAGTTCAGTAAAGCACTCCAAATTACTTTCTTCTCCCTTCTCCACTTTCTCCAAAATTCTTAGTCTGTACCTCTCAATATTCAATTCTATTTGAAAACCAAAAAGGATTAAAGTTGACTGCAAAGTCAAGGGAAGGAACTGTGTCTTACTCATCTTTTAAGCCCATTGTCTAGCACTGTATCTGGCGGAACCACAGACACTCAAGCTACATTTGTTGAACTGAAGATTCTACCTTTAGAGCCAGCCCTGACGGCCTAGTGGTTAAAGTTCAGCACATTCCACTTAAGCACAGTGGGTTTGGTTCTTGCACGTGGAACCACACCACTCGTCTGTCAGTAGCCATGCTGTGGCAGCAGTTCATGTAGAAGGACTAAAAGGACCTACAACAAGGGGCCAGCCCCGTGGCCAAGTGGTTAAGTTCGTGCGTTCCGCTTCGGTGGCCCAGGGTTTTGCTGGTTGAGATCCTGGGCGTGGACATGGCACCCCTCATCAAGCCATGTTGAGGCAGCGTCCCACATGCCACAACTAGAGGGACCCACAACTAAAAATATATACGACTATGTACCAGGGGGCTTTGGAGAGAAAAAGGAAAAATAAAATCTTTAAAACAAAACAAAAACTACAACTAGAATAAACACTACATACTGGGGCTTTGGGGAGGAAAAAAAAAGAGACGAAGATTAGTAACAGACGTTAGCTCAAGGCAAATCTTTCCCAGCAAAAAAAAAAAAGATTACATCTTTATTTTAATAGATAATCTAGCCACCTTTATGTCTACATACGTCCATTAAGCTATGTTTATAATGAATATCCAATAAGTATTTGCTTTTACTTGTGCCAAGTTAAAGAAGTAGGAAAGATATATTTGGCTCCAAATCAAAAATCAGGCATTCACTTAATCAACTCCAAACACTACCTACACAGGATTGATGGCCCTAAAAGGCATACTGTCAAGGAAAAGTATCATAAACCCTGATAAGAGGATTTAAATTCGTTAATTTTATGTATCCCAAAAGCTGTATTGTTCTAAAGCTATAAAACAAGATGGTACACATAACAGTAACTTCACATCTGTACTACAAACTGAAAGTAACAGTTAAACATCTCAGTGAAAAAACGGTCTGGCCAAAATTGGTACCTTACCACAGTGAAATAAGTTGCAAACTTACTTCACTTCAGCCAAAGGTAATGAGTATAAAAAGTACCGACTTCCAAAGGCAGCAACTGTAGTGAGACTAATTACTATCAAACTGAGAACAAACTCGATGATTAAATAGCAGGTTAAATATAAAAACGAGTACATTTTAACTGGAATCATACTTTTCCCTTAACGTTATACTCATTTGCTACTCAAGTGAGATTGATATAAAGGCGTTCAATTCATTAATATCTATTAAGTCATTGGTTGCATCCTCTGACTCCAGATTGTTATGAGTCAGACTCACACAGGAAGTCATCATACGAATAAAAAGAATAAAAGCCGCTATTCATAGTAACTACCTCTGGGAAGTGGAGAAAGGGTGGGAAAAGGGTCTTCAACTCTTACCTCTCACTTTTTTTTAAATCATGAAATTGTCCTACTTTTATAAGTAAAAAAAAAAAAGAACCCCACTTGTTTGATAATCATATGCAAATAGAGAAAGATTAGAAGGAAGTTCTCTAAAACATTAACAGCAGTTAGCTTGGGTGGTGTGAACTCAACTTTCTATTTTCCAGTA